CACCACTAGTTTTGATCAACCCCGCCTAGCCTACTATAAATGTGGACTAGTACCGCAAGTTGATTCTTTTCATTTGACAAATTGTTAATAATCATTTGTTATTTATTTTACAGTAATTGGTATTTATTTATTTTTAAAGGTATTTATTTAATTGTTAGGCCTTACAGTTACACATTTTTTATTACAATTCATACAATTCATCAGAAGTTTAAGGAATTGGTCATCTATCCTAGTATAGGCTCTCTATTATTCCTTTGTTATATGAGGGGATTAATGAGCTGACCTCTCGCACCGCCCCCAGACGAGCAACTAGTGGAAGCATGCCCCCGATAGTGACAGTGTGAGTGGACATCCCTACCTAAAATCTGAAAAGCCGTGGGTGAACTGAAAAAAGAAAATTGGAAACAATAGCCTATAATTTCAAAAAGTCAACAACAAGGTACAACCAACCAAAGAGAATTGCTAAAATTGTATATAACATGGGTATCTATCTGCACTTAAAAATTTGTAACTGTAAGGCCTAACAATTAAATCGTTTTTAGCCTCTATGGAGTAAAAATCAGCTGTTGTCAACTCAGTTGTAAATTTCTATTGTTAACGATTGCATGTATCGAAATATGTATCGATTCTTGCTTCGTAATCATTTTAACCTACAGTCTACAGTCTCTTCCCATAGCATTTTAGCATTGAAGATACATTAATCCATTCCCACGCTCAACACTGCTCACCTTTAGGCCTACTACTTCCTTCACCACCCCCTACGTCAAGACCTGTTTCCCTCTCTTCCCATAGAATTTTAAGATTGTAGATACCTTAATCTAATCGTCATAAACAGTTCCCACACTCCGGACTGCTCGCGTTTACTACATCCTTCACCATTTCCTACGTCACGGACCTGTTTTACCTCCCTTCCCTGTCGGACCTCCCTTCCCGAAGAATTTTAGGAATGTAGATACCTTAATCTAATCGTCATAAACAGTTCCCACACTCCGGACTGCTCGCTTTACTACTTCCTTCACCACTTCCTACGTCACGGACCTGTTCACCTCCCTTTCCTTAGCATTATTGGATTGCAAATACCTTATTCTATTGATCATAAACAGATAACACACTCCGAACATCTCGCCTTTACTACTTCCTTCACCACTTCCTACGTCACGGACTTGTTTCGTTCCCTTTCCATAGCATTTTAGGATTGCAGGTACCTTAATCTAATCTAATCGTCATAAACCGTTCCCACACTCCAGACTACTCACCTTTACTACTTCCTTCACCACTTTCTACGTCGCGGACCTGTTTCCCTCCCTTCCCAGTGCATTCTAATATTGCAGATACCTTAATCTAATCTCATAAACAGTTTCCACACTCCGGACTGCTCACCTTTACTACTTCCTTCACCACTTCCTATGTCCCGGACCGGTTTACCTCCCTTCCCATAGCATTTTAGGATTGCAGATACCTTAATGTAATCGTCACAAACAGTTCCCACAGTCCGGACTGCTTGCCTTTACTACTTCCTTCACCACTTCCTACGTCGCGGACCTGTTTCTCTCCCTTCCCATAGCATCATAGGATTGCAAATACCTTAATCTAATGGTCATAAACAGATCCCATACCCCGAACAGCTCGCCTTTACTACTTCCTTCACCACTTCCTACGTAGCGGACCTGTTTCCTTCCCTTCCAATAGTATTTTAGGATTGCAGATACCTTAATCTAATTGTTATAAACAGTTCCCACACTCCGGACAGCTCGCCTTGACTACTTCCTTCACCACTTCCTACATCGCGGACCCGTTTTCCTCCCTTCCCATCGAATTTTAGGAATACAGATACCTAAATCTAATCGTCATAAACAGTTTCCACACTCCAGACGGCTCACCTTTACTACTTCCTTCCTACGTCACGGACCTCAAGCTAGTGTCAAGCTGTTATAATTTAAACATTTTTGCCACCAAGACTGTTATTTGAATATATAATAGGTTACGTACCTTGGTCCGTAACCACATAATAAACTTTATGTGTCAACCTGTATTTATATAATGATGAAGACTTCCGTCAGATTTTTGACTAGCTTCTACATGATGTTTTGAAAAAGGATTTGACAATGGGTCTTTGTACCCAAAACTAGTCATCCATTGACTAAAATAAGACTGAAGACGGACCAAGGTATGTAACCTATTATATATTCTGTTCTAATATCTGTGGAATAATGCTTTCAGCTATTTCTTTATCTACTGCATTCAAAAGTCAACAGCTGATCATATGTCTTTGTTTATGTGTCAAATACTGCTTCCATAAGGATTACATTGTATCTTTGAGACCCAGTGGGGCGGATTCCTGAGAGACTTTTTTAACGCCATATAGATGTTGGCACTCACCGATATGGTCTTTATCACCATGCAAAATTTGAAAACGATTGATTCAGCCGTCTAGGAGGAGTTTGTGTATTACGAAATGCATAAGAGTCGACGTATAAGAGCTTCGCTCGTTTCGCTCAATAAATAAATACCAATTACTGTAAAATAAATAACAAATGATTATTAAAAATTGTGTCAAATTGAAGGATCAACTTGCGGTACTAGTCCACATTTGTAGTAGGCTAGGCGGGGTTGATCAAAACTAGTGGTGGGCAGCTGTGGTCCAATCTGGTGGTAACTTGTAGAAGTTCATTGAATAGAGTTTTCCAAAAATTGCAAAGCGTTCCAGGCTAGAAAACTAATAAAATAAATTTGACCCATAAATGTGTCTAGTCTAGTCAGTTCTTGTTCTCACTTTCAAAGAAAGTTTTAAAGAAAGAAAACGTTTATAAACAATGTTTTTAGCAAATTCTCTTTTTCATTAGTATTGGCCATTGGTTCTTTTTTTATGAACCGTTTCTTTCTTTAAAACATTCTTTAAAAGTGAGAACAAAAAATGACTTGACTAGACACAAATATTTCAGATAAGCAAGCCTCTAAAAACATGACAAAAATGAATTTTGAAACTTACAAAATTTTACAACACAGTTTTGAGAGAACTTTTCATAAAAATTGAGCTTGGTATCAAAAGACAAAAATTATCTGGCCCAGAAGGGTAAAATACAATAATAAATCACAATACAATTAGACACTTCAATAAATAAATACTTCAAAAATCAAGTTTCGTATAATTATGTTCAAAATTCTTTGGCCGGAGGTACATTCTCAGGTAGTTCTGGTAATAACTCCAGTAATTACCAACCAAATTTGCTCAAAGTGCCATTAAAAGCTGTCGCAAGAGTGCCCGCAACTTTTAAAAGCCAAACCCATACTTACGAATCAACCTGAGGTTAAGTAGGGGGTCAGTTACTTGCGGTTACTCAGAGTTGAGAAAAGCGCTTAACTAAAGCAGGGAACCCACTAGTCCGACACTCTCCAACACGACACCTTCCGACAAGTCTCCGACACCTTTCGCAGTTTTTAAGGTATAACCTATTGGCCCGACAGGCTCCGTCAGTAACCGACAAGAAATTAGACATTTCAGGCATTTTTGTAAATGTTTTTGGTTCTTTGTTTACATGGTCGTTTTCTATGATAGTTGTTCCTCATTTTAAGAACCAATGTGACACTATTCATGTATATATTTCTAATGTACTTGATGAATAAAGATAATTTGAATTTGAATTTTGAATTTGAATCACCACTCAAATCCATGGAACTTGCATCATTGAAGCATCAGAATATGTTCAACCTACTGTATAAAGAAAGGGATACTCCCAAACTGCTTCGATCAAACGTTCGTCAATACTCATGTCGCACACAAAGCTATACTGTGACAAATTTAGGTCTGGTGCACGCAGAGTTGAGAAATGTCGGATCCGAAATCCGACAAAAATGCCCCAGAGAGCAATGTTTTCAGAACGTGTCGGATCGGACTAGTGGTTTACAGTCCATTTAAAGTCATGCAAAGTAATTCTGTCGGTGAGTGTTGGACCAGTGGGTTTCCTGCTTAAAAGACTTATAACTCGATCAATTCCTTAATAAAATGAATGAAAATTGCAGGGGACATCTATGAGCTCTAATACTAACTTATTATGACCGAGCTTGGCCCCCAGGAGGTGCCATTACTAAACTATAATGAGGGCTTTGCCTTATATATATATAGATTCAATTAAGTTTATTCCCGCAGTAATCATAGATTTAACAGGGCGAAAACTGTGTTGTTCATTATCAATCAACAGATTACTTTCTAAAAAAGTATAGTAGTTGGTTGTACACCACTTTTTCTAAAATCTTTGGAAAAAACGGTAATAATGATACTGGTCTTCAACATGAACCCACATTATGCATCTCCCTTTTTATAGACTGGTACAACTTTAGCAATTTTTAATTTACAAGGAAAATGGCCGGAAATTAAAGAAGAATTAATAACATGGGTCAACGGTTTTGAGATAAGTGGAAAAGCCTGTTAAACTACAGCAATTGGAATGTCATCTATACCTGTTGAACATTTATTGGTGAAGGACCTTATTATTTAATATTTTTACCTAATCCGCCATGTTAAACTTCCCTATCCCAAGCGTGATGTATACAACTTCCTTACTTCTCGAGTGATGCAAAGTATCAAAAAGTCACTCGGTGATGTAATGAAACCCATTTAAATAACATTGAGTGATTAACTTAAAAAATATACCTCTATGGAGCCAACGACGTTCAACGCTAGAAATCAGCTGTGCTCTTGAATTTTATTGTTATGTTTTGAAGAATTTTCCTAACCTAGCTTTTGTTTGTAAATGAACGTTACTGTTAGAAGATGAGTGAAATGGATAATGATTAATATTGTTCGTAACCTCCTGTATATTGTCGGGTCAGGTAAAATCTTGTACGTTACACGTTACGCAAGAGCGTGTTTACATCACTTAGGTAAATTATGCAACACTACACTTGTAAGGTAAATAGCTATTACAACATGTCTTTCATCAACCTGCTTGAATTTGAGATAGCTTGTGGGTTTATGTGGTTTATAGGAGGTGTTATGTTACCTCAAAGTGCCGGACTGTCATCGGTGTCGCCAGCCAGTTGGTAGTGATGTCTCCGCAGAGCTGACAGTCGTAGTCGCTCCTTCTCCAGGTCAGACTCTAGCTCCAGCACTCTCACCTGGGCCTCCATCTCCAGTCTCTTGGCTTGGTGAAGAGACAGGTGTGACACATCCAGCTCATCTGCTGTGAAACAAACAGTAGGCCATAGTACACACAAGACGCCACAAAACACAACTCCCTGGTGGACTTTGTCATGTGTCTGACTCTATTTGCCTATACCTTTCAAACAATGTGTTTAACATTGTCTTGAAGGGAGGGTGTTGTGATGCGAGCTAAGATCTGTAGGATTAAGCACATGTTTTACGGAAACTAATACTTAACGTACAATTTATTTTCCCTTAGGTGTTGCAACATTGTTTAATGTGTAGATGTAGTAGATGTCATAAGAAATGTTCACAACACATTTACTGTATGATGAAGGATGCCATTATCATATGGTTATCAACTTGTAGTTCTTTGGTTTTTTGACAAATTCAATGCTATTTTTAATACTATGGGTATTATTTATAACTAAATGCTGTCTCAATAATTAATTTATATAGTTTTATAGCCAATTTATAAGAGGGAGCTGACATAAAATTGACTAGTAGTCTAATTGACATTCCTCATTCTTGAACTTTTGGAAGTCCTTTAAGTGAGGGGGCATGAAAGGTTCATAATTTTCAAGGAATTTGCCTCGTTTTTGGTCAAAATATTTCCAAACTATTACATAGGTCTGACCGGCTATTCATTTAAGAAATGTTTTTCTGAACATTTGCCTAAACCAAAATATGCAGAACAAAAATCCAAGTTTGCTGAACATTTATTAAATTCAAACCATACTGTTAATAGCTTTAATGAGAATGCAGAAATTTTACATGTTTGTAAGAAAGGCTTCATGCAAGACGCACTCAATTAATTTCAGATGTACAAAGCCACTAAATCCGACCCTTACAACATGCTTAATGAAAAACTTAACTATGGCTCAAATAAGGTTAGGATGGTGAATGGCCTGGGGAAGAAGAATCGAATCGGCATGTGGTCCGAGGTCATATCCAGTGACCACTCTTACCATCTGAGTGATTCGAGCATGACCTTGGGATCCTCCAACATCTAACCAAAGGTTTTCGCAATGGAGTCTCTGTAGGCAGTCCTCCTCGCAGTGACCTTTGTCAATTGGAGTGAGGTCGAGAAGGCAGTCCAGTCTCACTGGACTGCTTCTCAACCTCACGCCAATTGACGACATTCAATGAATGAAATTTAACGCTTCGATTTGAAAATGACTACTTAGTAGTCGAAACTAGTCAATGGAAGTTCGACTGAGGAATTGTGGACGTCAAGTTACGTAGCCTGTTATAATTAATTTGTTTAACTGACATGAAAATACATCAGAGTTTATTGCATGGACACACAAACGATCCCATAAAATGTTTACTGGTTGGGACCAATTTCTTGGGCCAACCCGACCCAAAAATATTGAGGTCCAGCAGACTCTTAGTAATAGTTGGTGTGACAATTATTCAACTAGGTTCATTTGGGAGAGAAGTGAATAATTCCTATGGTTGTACTCACCAGACTCATCAACCAGTTGCATACAGGACTTTGCTGTAGCCACCACCCCAGCCGTGGCCTGAGTGACATCCTTACTGGCTGCTGACAGTTGAGACATGTTGGTACTGTTGCGGCTGGCCTTCACTCTACTAGCCACTACCAGCTGGGCAGTACTGGCGGCAATACCTGGTACACACAGAACCTATCACAACTGACGACACTTAGTGTATCTAATCTAAGACAAAAGTGTCTCAGGGACATCAATGTAAGCTAAAAACACAAACACGAATGCAATATGATTTACAATGTCTGTGTGCTAGAAGTAGACACAAACAGACACCAGTCTGTCAGTGTGACTTGGAGTGGTGTTGTTGTCGCAAAAATATTGATGGAGAAATAAAATTTCAAATAAAAATGGAGTATGTAAATAAAATGTAATTTTAAAATTAAAAGACAGCAATGCATACTTTGTTGGGTATTAGATCTGAGTGAGATGATCTGTGTAAATTTGTTATTGACTGGGATCAGCAATTTCTTAACCAGAACCATTTATTAGGGATGGACGGGATTGAATTTTTAGTTCGGGACGGGACAGAACGGGATTTTTATTTCCTTCCCAATTTTCGGGACGGGACAGGACGGGATTTTTTTCAGTGCTTAAAAAGAAAGTATTGAGTATTGCAGTTACCAAACAAGACAAACAAAATCAATGTTTACCATTTTTGGCACTGATATATAAAAACAAAAGAATGGGTAAAAACTTACAGGTATAGCAACTTGTGACTTGCGGTCGAAATGACTCACAGTCACGGTCAGGGACGTATTTAAGTATCTGCCGCCTCTAGGCAACAAAGTTTGCCGCCGCCCCTCCCGCTCCCACTTTTCAACGCACTCCCCGACCTCACTAATATCACCCCATTGGCCAATACATGCCCTGTCAGCTGGTTTTGTGGAAAAATAATCGGTAATATTGCATGCTGCATCAACAAATTTAATAACTTTTCACCACACTATGATGTTTTTAGCTGTTTTACATGCGTTAATTGGTGGCTGAAAGTTACGTTTTGCTGGCCATGCCAGCTGTCATCGTCATTTGGGGACCGAGCAGGTTCTTACATCCCTAGGGCCGCAAAATCAGCTGATCGCTTACTTTTTTAAACATGAATGCATATTAAATACACAATCAGTATCCATAGCATTGCAATAGAATTGTTTTATTGTCACCACTGCCTAGCAACTATTTATTTTAATTTTTGCTGATTCCTCAAATTATTTCTTCACATAACCTTAAAGTTCTAGTTGTGTTGACTATCAGTGTGCAGTGTGCATCATTATTGTGGTGAATAGTGCTATTAAGGTATAGTGTGGTGGAAAATGGCGTTCGTACCACGGACCGAAATGGTTTTGCAGCTCTCGATCGTTTTAGGTTGACTTCGTCTTGAACCTAAAAACTATGTCGAGCCGGCGAAACCTCATTTTCGGCCCTAGGTACGAAATATACTATTTCGACCCCTTTTAACGGACGTTTTTTGTGCCGTTTTTTTGCAAAACATTCTGTCTTGGATAGGCATACACGGAATGCACCATTTTTTTTATCTAATCAGTATTTTTACAATCCCATTTTGCGGCTTAAAACGGCACACAAAATCGTCAGTATACAATGGTTCTTATAACGCTTTTCATTGAACACTATTAGTCAGATCCACTTGAGAGATTGGCTTTGATTTGAAATGAAAGAAATATGTTTTCTTAAACTATTTTTTTCTTACAAAAAAACACATGAATCGCAAAGAAAAATTACGTACTTTTACTGAAAGAATAATATACAATTTTAAATTAGTTAAGTTTGGTACAGTGGTAAGTATTTAGTTCACACTTTCCAAGAATCTTTCAGCTATAGTGCTGCCACTGCGTAGTGGAGTATGAAGTAAACAGAAGGGAGTGTTTTCTACGTTTGTCACTAGACATAGCGGCCGGCACGGCGACCCGCTCCCGCGGCGAGCGTGTCCGCCAGACCAATAGGGCAGCACGGACAACTCTACACAGCTGTGTAATAAACTATTGACGTTTGTTTGACTTGGATGCGTTCTGAAATAGTTGTATACTTAATAAAAATATTTGAAATGGCTATTTTGCCGTTCCCAAAATTATTTGCAAAAATTTTTTTTAGATTAAAACTTTGTTTTTTTATTTTTTTACCCTCAAAATTTTGCCGCCCCTAAAATTTGCCGCCCTAGGCGGGCGCCTAGTCCGCCTATTCGGAAATATGTCCCTGGTCACGGTGCTATCGTCAAAATGACTCGCGGTCACGGCGGTATCGTCGTTATGACTCCGCGGTCATGAGTTGAACGTCGGTATGACTCGCGGTCACGGCGTGATCGTCGGTATAACTCCGCGGTAACTTCGCGATCGTAGGTATGACTCCGCGGTCACGGGATGGATGTCGGTATGACTCTGCAGTTACTTCGCGATCGTCGGTATAACTCTGTGGTCACGGTGTGATCGTCGGTATTACTCGCGGTCATGGCGTGATCGTCGGAATGACTCGTGGTCACGGCATGATCGTCGGTATAACTCCGCGGTAACTTTGCGATTGTAGGTATGACTTGGCGGTCACGGCATGATCGTCGGTATGACTTGCGGTCACGACATGATCGTCGGTATAACTCCGCGGTAACTTCGCGATGGTAGGTATGACTTGGTGGTCACGGCATGATCGTCGGTATGACTTGCGGTACGGCATGATCGTCGGTAAAACTCCGCGGTAACTTCGCGATCGTAGGGATGACTTGATGGTCACGGCATGATCGTCGGTATAACTCGGCGGTCAAGGCGTGATCGTCGATATGACTCGGGGTCACGGCGTGATCGTCGGTATGACTCCGCATTTACTTCGCGATCGTTGGTATGACTCTGCGGTCACGGTGTGATCATCGGTATTTTTTTTTTTTTTTTTTTTTTTTTTTTTTTTTTTTTAATAAAAGAGGTTGGCGGCCTCTTTTAACCTTGCATTTGCCCGTCCACATAGACTAAGCGCCCGTGCGTGGATCGTTTACAGCAAAGCAAGGAGTGAGCCGGTACAGTACAAAGGTGAACTGTACTGATAAAATGTTATCGGCAGTGACCAGGATCCGAACCCACGGCATCGCTACCTTGGGCCCGAAGTCCGCGACGCTACCGACTGAGCCACCAACTCACTAACGACGGTATGACTCGCCGTTTCGGCGGGATCGTCGGTATGACGCCGCGGTCACAGCGCAATCGTCAAAATGTCTTCGCCTCCTGCTTTCGCAAAACTATCGTGAACATCTCTCGCGATAGCGGCGTCATCGTCACTCGCTAAGCGGTAAAATCGCCGACGATCGGATCAAATCCCGTCCCAAAAAATTCCCGAATCAAATGTAATCCCGTCCCTAAAATCGGGAATATTTTTTCCCCAAAAATTTCCCAAATTTCGGGACCCGTCCATCCCTACCATTTATTAAAAGCCCAACGTACAAGCACAGCTGGGCCCAGTTTCCAACCATTAAATAGAGAGCTACTCACTTTTCTCAGGATCGAAAAAGCAACCTTTTGATTACCAGCAGAACACTATGATTACTCAGATATTATAATCTGGCATTTCAAAAACTTCAACTTTAGCCTATATTGAATAAGATTGGATGGAACAAAATTGATGAACTAAAAGTTATTAAATTAAGATAAAACTTGGTAAAATATACATATTTGAAAATCTAACACAATATTGTATTTTAGTTTACCTTGAGAAGCTACAACCAGCTTTTCCAGCTTCCCACCCGAACTTACAACTTCATCTGCTGCAGTTCTGTAAGTCAAAATGAAAATTAATACTTTCTCAACAAATTTTGTGTTTCAGGATTGAAACCAAGGTATCTATTACTACTCTAGGCCCTTTAATAGGTGGTTTAAACCACTTCTTAATTACTACAAAACATTTTGTTTAAAGCCACCAATTTATGACATTAGGTTTACCTATAATAATGAAGAGACACTTATAGCTTCCTAGAATTTTTGCAATTCCAAATTACTACACTTCACAGTACAAATAATTTAAAAGCAAACTTTAAGTAAGTTTTAGAGGACAAAAGCCTACTTACAACAAGAAATTAGCTCCCATTCCCACAGCCTTGGCAGCAGATATGAGGCCTTCAGTCCATTGATGGTTTCTCTTGTAGAACTCTTTAGCTGATGCTGTACCCTGAAAAATATAGGTCCAAGTTAGTAGGCCTACTGAGTTCATTTGGAATTTTAACCCGGAAATAGTATTATCAGTAGTGGATTGAGTAAAATTGTTCCTAAGGTCAAACAATAAAAAAATATTCCATAAATATGAGTAAAATATGCCTGATTTTCTGTCTCTGTCTGTAACGAATGTGTCCATAACTTTAAAACCCCTGTGAAGAATCATAATATTTCCTCTGCGTTCTCTACTCATTGCGAAGCTCGAACAGAGCAGCTGGATTATTTAAAGCCTAATGATCAGGGACAGCTGGGTCCAGTTTTAAACCATACAAATCTACTGACTTTTCTTAGGATTGATCCCACAACCTTTAATTGCTAAACAAGCACTATAACCACTCACTCAACCAAAAATATGTAATGTACTATTGGATACTGGAGTAGACATCCCATCTATGTGGACCAACTGTCATTTTTTTTTTTATAAAACATTTTAATTGTGCGAGCCATACAGAATGCGTGTCTAAAATTATATTTTCTACCTTATTTTTTGTTGCTGACAAATTTGATGGGTCATAACAGATGCTATAGCCCATAATAAGTCTTTCCAAAAGTTGACTTGGTAAAAAACATTGTTTATTTGACAGAAATTAGTAATTTATATCAGAGCAGTTGGTGGCTCACATCAACTACGACAAATTTAATACAAAATTGGCGACAACCTTAAAATGGGGATGGAATGTCTAGTTGTAAGTCAAAGGTACAGGCTTCTCTATTTTCACCCCAAGCTGTAAATATAACATGTGTTTGGAATTGCTTCCATTTGTTTTGATTTCATGTTTATATTTCGATGATATTTCGTCACCAGCATGGCAACTCATAAAGCCCATGTTAATTTTTTTTTAATTTCAAATTCTTTTTTTGTGCTTATTTTTGAGCCTATTTTAATTTTTAAAGGGATTCTGCACATTTACAGGAAAATATATTTCTAACAGTGTGAGCAGATTTCCCCAGCGATGCATACGAGCTGAGAAAAAAGGTTTGAAAGAAACATGCTTGCCTATTAGTATATAGATAGATATATACACAGTCTCTAAATTGTAATATGTTAATTTGCTTATCAGGCAAATTTCACCATTGAAGTATCATTAGATTAATCATGAAATTCCCCAAAAATCTATAGGCCTACTCTTGATAGGTTTTAGTGTAATCATTTGTTTTAAAGATAAAAAGGTAATATAGTTCCAAATAGCCGCCCTTTTGAATTTGTACACATAAAAAATCTAAAACTTTGTGGCAAGATTGGTTCTATCTGTCACTATTTATGTACAGGAGAGTTTGCCCCTTTTGCATGATGATGATGTTCTTGTAACCCCGTTAAACGATGGTAATGTCCACACGATCGTAGAAGATGATTGAAATTTTTCTGCGATCGCAGATGACGATGATGTTTCCGTTACCACAGGGGATATTCATGATTTTGCCGTGAACACGGGAGACGATGATGATGTCTACACAACTGGAAAAAACTACGAAGATTTTTCGGGTTCCACAAGTGTTGGGGGATATTCAAGATTTTGATGTGACCACGGAAGACAATAACTATGTCTACACAACCGCAGGAAATGATTAGAACTTTGCCGCAACCGCGGGAGAAGATGATGATATCTACACGGGCTTAGGAGACGATTGGAATTTTGCTGTGATTGCGGGAGACGATGTTGATGTCTACACAATCGTGGGAGATGATAAGAATATTGCACAATTGAGGAAGACTATGATGATGTATATATAACTGCGGTAGATGATAATGACGTAACATGACCGTGGGAGATGATCAGAATTTTGCACAATTGAGGAAGACTATGATGATGTATATATAACTGCGGTAGATGATAATGACGTAACATGACCGTGGGAGATGATCAGAATTTTGCTGGCATCGTAAAAAGAGATAATATCTCCACATGACCGCGGATGAAATTCAATATTTTAATTGTGCTCACAGAAGACGTTGATAATGTTTTTGTGACTGCAAAACACCATGATAATGTTTTTTGACTGAGAAAGATATTAAAGATATTGCAGTGGTTGTGGAAGAAGATTAGTTTGTCTCCACATTCGTAATGATGATCGCAATTCACAATATTACCTTGGGTTGGGCTTCATAAAAAATCTCAGGCGGGCACTTCCAGTTATGTATGATAAAATCTTCTTTTCAATTTTTGTAGTAGTACCTTTATTTTCCTTTGATGTGGCATTTGTTTAGAATAGTTGTAACTTAAATTGACTATAGTTCGGCCGCTTAGAAAGCGACCTCCTCCAGCATTGGTTTAGCATTAGCGCGCAGGTCGTTTTCTAAGCGGCCGAACTATAGTTTGAAATTTGTATAGCTGCATATTCTTTCTTTTCTAAAAAAAAACCTCTGATACCAAAACCTCTGATACCTCTGAACCTCTGATGTTCTTACTATGGAAGGACATTAAGATAGGGGCTGGTGTATTATAACCATGCAGAAAATTTGGTAAAATTTAAATTGATGTCTCTTTATATAATATATATGTTAGTATGGTTTATCTATGGCCTAAGCCTCCATGGAATTGTTACTTTACAAGTCTTTGTATTTTGATGTCAGAAACGGAAGTCGAATCCTAATAGTCAGTAATAAAGATGTCGTTTGTTACTCTCACATGTGTCTTGCCTTTGTCTAATGCATCCTAATACATCTTGCTGTCCATATATCAGATATCAAGAATTAAGAATACATTTTTCAGATCAGTATCGGAAGTTAATAAATTTTGGTATTGACACATTTCAAAATGCCTGGTTTTCTTTCTCTGTCTGTAAGTGATTTTTACAAATGAAACTAAACATAGCTTTTGAAACCCTTAATCAATTTACTTCAAACTAAAAATAATAAGATAAAACCAATCTTTGCACAGTGTGTCAGATTTAAAATGTTTCCTAATTCAAAATGGAAGTCATTAAAAATGTTTGATAATAATTTCTAGTTTCACATAGTGGAAAGTAACAATCATAATAAGGTTACTCTGCAATTTGACATCAATTGTATATAATGTAGCCTACTAGTGGCACGTCAAAACCGACACCCAAGAGCCAACGTTTTGTAATAGTTATTATTGCTTCTAGCATAAATCAGACATGTGCATCTTTTCAAAATTTGAAGGTAACTAGCCTTCTAGCTTTCTACCAGTTTTCACTAATAAACTATTTAATTAAAATATTCCCATCCCTTTCTCGAAAATAATTATGTAATTTCAATAAACCAGTACAACAGAAGGAAACAAATTAACTCGTTCAGTATTTTTTTACCAAACAACTTTCCAGATGCACATTATTTTATTTGGTTATAAGCTTAATTGAATGCACTTAAAATAATTTGAATTTCGTTTAGATTCTATGAGATGTTTAACCAAAAATATCATTTAAGTATTCTTGAAACTGTGCATTGTTTAATATTTGACAAGTTTTCAGTTTGAACAGTTACTACTGTAGTTTACCTTTCCTTGAGCCACTATCTCGGCTTGCAGCAGTCTACTCTTCTGTACTAACACTCTGATAGCCTTCATCAATGTTGTACAAGAGTCAAGTATCTTCTCATTGACTTCCAGTTTGATACCAGAGTCAGCTGCTCTTGACTTGGTCAGCATTTCCTAAACAAACAATTTCAGAAATAGTTTAGGAATTGATGGTGGTTGGTTAGTTTTCTGGTGAAATTCAGGTCCGGTCGAGCTTTTATTTTCCTGATCACACAAATAAAAATGCACATCTACAAGGATGTCCAAGATGATGCACGATTTAAAATTTACGTTTTGCCGGAATATCACGATTTTGACATGACTGTGGATGATATTTACAATATCACTGTGAACGCAAACAATGTTTGCAATATAGTCGTGACTGCAGAAGATGTGTAAATTTTTCCGTGACTGTAAATATGTTTTTAATTTCGCCTTGATCAGAGATGTCCACAATTTCACAGTGATATGGGGAAGATCAAGAGAAAAATTATATTTTATGTTTTTTGAATGATTTTATTTTTATTTTATCTGCTAGTCTTTTGTAAAAAGGTACTTTATATTTTTGTATTTGTTCACAAATATAAATTAAAGTGTTAAACGTGTCAACCAAACAGACGGTTTTATAACCATTGTTTTAAGAATGTATGGTTGTTCTATGATTAAAAAATTGTACAAAATAGCAAATTTTCATTTAAATTTTATTTCATGTTGACGTACGATGATTAATCATTGATAAAGAAAACCCCTCAATATATTTCATATAAGTTTGCCAAAAGACTGTTTAATAATTAATATATAAACAGTCATATGTTTTTCAATTGTTTTGTTGAAAAAACAGTAAATAGTTTAGTTGTTGTTTGATGTATGAAAAATAAAGAATATGGTTTGGTTTTTGTTCACATTTATTTTTGTCATTTCTGATATTTTATATTAACTGATCGTCCGTGATATCGAGTTGATCGAATCACGCATATTGACGATATCAATGTCATAGGGAAAGATCATTTTTGTTTAAAAAAATTGTCATTAAATTAAGCTATCTTTTATTCATGAGAAATCAAAATATTTCACTTAAAAAAAGAGTAAAATGACACTAAATTTTAAAAATACAAAAAATAATAGGGAGTGTTTTTTGGTTGTTAATGTTGGTTGTCGGTTTCACCAGTTTTTAGAAAGATAAAAAAAACGAAACCGAGAATTGACAGAATAATTGGTTGCAGACTGTGGCTGTTGGAAAATAATTATGGCGTTGAGGTTGTTTAAGAGCAGATAAAAGGTTTATCAGAGATTTGTTTACGACTTTCATAATTTATAACTAGAGTAATGATGCAATTGCAATCCCATTGATTTGATCATGAGAGTAATCATTTTGTGGTGTGGAGGTGGGAGGAGTTCCGGTTCACAAAAGTGACACATCTAGCTGCTAGGCTGAGTAGTAGGTGTGACATAGCAGACCACAGCACAGGATCAAATTGAGCAGTTCACAGGACCGGAGATCGCAAACTATCACCAAGGTCTGCTTAAACTTAAAGGAACTCAAATGAAAAAAAAAAAAACACACAAAACATTATGATATTGTTTAACATTTTTAAAGGGGTAACACACAAGAGTAAATTTTAAATCTATAACACATAAAAATAATTAAATCAATTTGAATAATATTTAATTTAGTGGATAAAAAAATCAACATTTTAGAAAATAATGAATAATGAATATCCATTAAAGAAATACAATTTAAACAATCAAAATAATTAAATAGTCTTCATATTAAATTTATTAACTGTTGTAGATGGTCGATGATGCTAAGTTGTGCATTATAGATTTGCCATTGGTGAATTATCATTTAACAGCGTAAATTGAATGTCTAACTTAAGTCTGATTATAAAGAAGATACAAAATTCATTCAGAACATGGATTCAAAATAGGCCACTTTAATGCATTTTTTTTGGTAAAAGTCACAGGTTGAAGTTTGGTACTCGAGAACGAGCGACTAAGCCTGGTGAGCTGATTCACACAGATCTCTGTGGTCCATTTGTAAGTTCAGTATCAGGTTATCGATACTTTGTACTGTTTAAAGATGATTTCTCCAGATTCGGACAGGTGTATTTCATGAAGCAGAAGTCAGAAGTACATTCTAGAGAAACTTAAGCAGTTTTTGGCTGAAAGTAAGACTACAGGAGTGATTGTAAAGGAAATATTAAGTGACAACGGTGATGAGTTTGATAGTGGTATTGTGAGACAAATATTAGAGCATCATGGGATTAAGCATAGGTTAACAATGCCATACACGCCTGAGCAAAACAGCTGTAGTGAGCGAGACAACCGGACATTGGTCGAGCAATGATGCACGCCCATGAGACAATACCAGAAATGTTATGGGCTGAAATGGTTAACACAGCGGCCTACATTTTAAACCGAACTGGTCCATCAAGTGTACAAGATATATCTCCTATTGAGCTGTGGTCAGGAAAAAAGCTAGTAATAAAGAACCTAAGTATCATAGGATACAATTGTTATGCACATGTTCCTAAACAAAATGGAAAAAAATGGAAAAGAAGTCAGTAAAAGGGATCTTAATTGGTTATGATGATAACGATGGATATCAAATTTGGTGTAAGGAAAATAACTATTTGATTAGATCAAGAGTTGTAATTTTTCATGAAGAACCATTATTTCAGAGACCCTTGTTACAGTTATCAAACCATGAACCATCAAAACCTCAATAAGAAAATACTGACCAAAATACAAAAGAGCTTGTAGGAACTGGGGAAAATATCGTTGGACGGTATTATTTTGCTTCCTTTAAGTAAAAGACTTTGGCCCGCAGTAAATATAAACAAGAATCAAGAATCAAGAATCTTTATTGCCTTTGATCCATACATATACAGACATTGGCATAGTCAATAAATTAAATAAATAAATACATTACATTCTAACAATAATTACAAACGAGGTGTTAGCCCGTCCTACGTACGGGAGTAGTCAATTAAAACTGTGTATAAATCAGAACAGCTAGCTTACACGTATAAAGACAAATTTTATAGCACCCTACAGTGGAAAGAATAATTATCAATTGAGAAAGTGTATAGGCCTAGTCAACGATATCACCTTCCAATTCCTTCGCATACCTGCCTCTTCCATAATCAATATAAACACAATACAATTACTCATACTATACACAATTTCCAGTAGGTCTGAATAGAAACTCCCTAAAATAAAACGAAAACATCCAATAAAATTCACAGTACATATAATTATAACGTTGGTGTCCTGACATCATTAAACGAATCGTCCACACATATCCTTTATATCAATTTCACTGCATCAATTGCCGAATAAATAAGTGTAAACAAAGAAAAGTAAAAACAACAACATATAGTTTGTTTTAATAAACAGCTGAGTCAAAAATAAAATAATATTCATTTGAAGAAAAGAAGTGGTCACATGTTGAAGGAATTAAAACGTAAAACACGCTAGTAAAGCTAGTGACGTAATTAATTGTCTATGTTTATTACCCATTCCGTTATCAGTTCTAATATCCTTAATAATTAAACCACCCTCATTGAATCAATGTACACCTTAATTCCCTATATTCATTTATTTAAACTAAAAATATTTAACGCCTCCAAACGTAACCACAACTAAACACACGCCAAACAACTTTTTAGATTTCATAAAAGGATAGTTAGTATAATTGCAGTATCCTAGGTCAATGATGACGTTGTGCTCAATCTATGTCATTCATATCTGTATATCTTTGGATAGAACCCGTCTGGGTTGTGGTTATAATTTAAAATTGTATTCCTGAAGATTCTTGACCTCCTTCTTTATTATGACATCAATATTTCCGGGCCTAATCCAAACAAAGTTTAATCATTCAAAAACATTGATTGTAAACAAACCAAGATGAATTAAAACGTGTAAAAAATGGATTTTCCTACCCTTTTCTAAAAAAGTTGAGCAGTATAATAATTTGCATATCCATGATGAAATGAGGGAATAAAATACATAAAATACTTTATTAATAATTGATGTAAAAAGGAAAGATATTAAAACATTAACACTTCAAACTGTGAACATATTAGAACAACATAATAATCTAATCAAGCAGCTGATATTAAAAGACACATTAAAAAGATATTTGATTATATAGCATTTAAGTAAATCAATACTATATAAAATCTTCAACATTCCCCCTTAATCAAACATCTTTTTTTTTATTATTTAATCAGAGTCTTTAAGTCCCAAATCCGTCACAAAGTTATTAATTTTTTCACGTGACAATGATTTGGTTAAAATATCAGCCGTCATACTTTCAGTTGGCATATACTTGATTTCAATTAACTTCTTTTGTACAGCTTCTCTTATGAAGTGATGTCTAACATCAATGTGCTTCGTCCGATTATGAGCTTGAGTGTTTTGAATAAACTTCTGAGCACTTTGATTGTCATTATACAGTACAACAGTGTAGAGCTTTTCACTTATCTCACTTAAGAAGTTTTTCATAAAACACACCTCTTTAGTTACATCACTCATTGCTAAATATTCCGCTTCCGTACTGGATAATGCAACAGTACGTTGTTTCCTTGATTCCCAAGAAACTGCACACCCTCCAGCTTTCAAGACAAAACCAGTCGTCGATCTTCTATCAATTGTGTTTCCAGCCCAATCTGCGTCAACATATGCTTCCAAATTGAAGTTATTGGTAGATTTGAATGTAAGTGCATATTTTCTAGTCCCAACTAGATATCTCAGTACACGCTTTGCTGAAATCCAATGACTTTTATCATGACATGTGTTGAACTGACTTAGATAGTTTGTAGCATACGATATATCAGGCCTTGTACACACTGAAAGATATAGAAGTCCACCAATCAGCTGTTGATAAGGATAATTGGATTTCTCTTCATTAGAAACCTTTTCAAGCTTCAAGTTTACTGCCATTGATGTAGATGCAGGTTTTGCTTCTGACATGTTAAAACGCTGCAAAAGATTTGTCACATAGCTACTTTGGGAGAGTGATATGGTTCTCTCTTTACGATTTCGAGACACTTTCATACCTAGACAGTTGGTAACAGGTCCTAGAACTTTAGTTTCAAAAGTTTTTTGAAGAGCTGTTATTAGATTTCGTT